GCCCACCAGAGCCACCACGACATTGCCACCCAACCGAGCGCACAACACAATGATAGCTGTAAGGGGAGAACCACATTGGACATAGTCGGAGTGCACTCATCAGTGCACAAGTCTCTGGAACAGCATCACACAAAGCTCTACTCAGAGTACAAAATTCAAAGTTCAAAATTGTAACCTCTCTTCTGTCAGTGTTATAGCCAATCGTGTGTAAGAAACAAGGTGTGATGGACTCTGATTGGATATTAAAAAGGAGCAAGGTGGCTCACCTTGCGAATTCCATTAACAAGTCAGTTAATATTCCATTTTCTCGCAAAATGGGATGAACCAAAATGCCATTTGGAGGTAAAAAGGTCCATGTTGTAATATATGGCGTTTTGAACCTCTTCACAGTCAACGAGTAAATCCCACGTGGTATTATTGTATTTGGGTTAAAACGCTTCAAGCAAGGCATGTTTCCATTTTGATCAGATTGTTGAATTCGGCCCCAAGATGGTGTTTTGGGCCTGAATATTGCAATATTCCGGTTATCAGACGCACCCTAAGCTATAATGACTGGCGTAAGCCTTGGTCTTCATATCGCATGACGCTGCCTCAATGTTCACCACCATCTACCGGGATGGTTTGATTGTGACTTCGAGCTAAGCTTACATATGGAGACATTTCGCATGTGTGATGTATTCTGACACTTTGCAGGAGAACAAGCTTTGTATCCTGATAGCTGTAGTCCTGGGGATATACAGTAAAGAGCTCTAACAGAGTGTCATGTACTACGTAGTACTTCGAAGTATTACGTGTGCTTGAAATCCATTTGCAACAACGCCTACTGTGTCTAAAATTACCCTTTTATTGCACCCTGGTCATAATCAATCAGCGCACCTAGCTTACATTATTGTTATGTACACACAATAAGGGCGCTAATTCCACACACCTGTGTCAACCACCTCGTTTCTCGTGCCAATGCGACGCATCAGATATAAACACTTGCAGATGGAGTTTCTCTACCTCGGCCACGCCTCGCTTGATATAACATGATGTTCGCAGTATATAGTGTTCCGACCAATCCTGTACTCGCAGAGAGGGACTTATGTCCCCACGGACGTGCCTACTCATCACGCCGCACCGCCGATAGAGACACAGCCTACTCTATCTTGGCCAATACTAACCATTTCCTCATTCTTTGAGTGGTCCCACCCATGAGGGATGCCCTCAGTTGTGGAACGAGTCATGTCTTACCTCCCGACGGACGTGATGTACACACCACGTGTTCATCACGTCCGTAGGGGGTGTAAATATCGTGGCTCCTCGACCAGTGCTCAAAAGAAGTCGAAGAAATCCTTGGCTTAGTTTTTCTGCTACTGCTACTATTAATAGTGTTCTCCTCCATAACCCACTTTCGGTTGTCCGATTGCATACTACACACATGCTGTTTTCGCATATACTCTGATCCGCTCATGAACTCGGCTTACGGCTCGACGGCGGCAAACATAAAGTGCCAATTAATGGTGCTTGTGTGCCAATTAATTACGTGTAAACTAAGCCAATCACTGATCCCAAAATTGGAAAAGCGCCAATCACAGAACAAACCTCTGAATATGTACACTCGCAGCCATACAACACCGAAGGTTAAAACACTGTAATACGTCAATAACTGGCACACCACGAGGTAAGGTGATTCATGTAACTCCCGGCCAGCTTAGCCTACTTTCTGAGTGCCATAACTCGTCACCCATTCATCCGATGAGGCTGCAAAAACATGCATTTTGAAGATCGTGACAAGCATTATAACTTTATGCAGGTCCTATCACTTTTGTATCGCATGGTCAATTTGCTTGTCGAATTTCTAAAATTGAAAATTCCCTGTGGGAATTTAATTCCCGGCCAGTAAGCCACTTGAATAATGTATGCCTGATTTGGGTGACAAGCAGAATATTAAATTTTACAAGTATGTGATACAAGAGTACCTAATTATGTCCAATCATCGTCCATGGATGATTGTGATTGGCCATTTGCTGGCCGGGAATTACATTAATCATTTATGAAGAGCTGTACACAGCTCAATTGTGCGAAATATATTGCACGTTGATAACTGTTAGGACAATTCAGGATGCAAAAACAATGCCTCGTATGTCAATCAGGAATTATGGCCATTCTCCGAAAAACAAAAAAGTTGTAACGTACACATTTGTGGAAGGCAGCTCGGGAGAATTTCCAAATCTCCACGCTCAGGCAACTTTTTCAACCTCCGAAACTGGGAGATTATACAGCTTTGCTGAAATACTGCTTTACAACCACATACCGATTTAATTGTTTTTTGCAGTCATATTGCATGAGAAAAACAAGAAAACCCAATAAATTTGATACCATTTGATTGGTTCTTGAACATTGATCTTAAATTTTGTTTGAGGTGAGGTGTATTAAGGAGCTTATACAGGCAAAGCGTCTTTAAGTGTGAGGATCAACCGGGGTTGAAGGCGAGGTCGCCGTCGAGAAAATCATATAGGGTGGCGAGATCGTGTGGGGGGAGTGGCGTGTTGTGTTTGGTAGGGGGGGACGAGAAATCCCGTGCGAGGTCTGGCGCGCGTTTGGATAAGAAGTCCGCGGCTTGATTGCCGTCTCGGAGGCGATGAACCCATGTGCAATGAAAATGTGCGGCCCATTCACGTGCTGAGCGGATCCGCCACAACCTTCGCCCATACGGGCAGCTCCGTCGAAAAACACCACACCGTCCTTACGCATTGGGGTCTGTCCGCGTGGAGGAGAGGGGGGGTGGGCTAAGAAGAGACTGCACCGTACGACTAGGTCCTGATACAGGTCCGCGCGGAGGCGGTTCCGTCGTTGGGCGTGGTAGGTGGCTAAGGCGTGGAAATGCGCCTGGAGGAGGTAGGGACATTGATCTTAAATTGAGTCATGTGTCTTAACTGTAAATTGATTTTTTACGTTAGTTGGTATTGCAACAATTGGCTAGCATACGCCCTTCCTTAACGATGGATTTGCTATTCATGGTCGTACCCACCAAGTACAATGAGCAAGGGCATCATCCCCAATGGTGCGGCGGTATATTCAAACTGTATTTTGACGTTTATGCTGAACACCCAAAAAACTTGTTGCATTTTTCCAGTATGTTGCACCACCGGGTAGCTAAGGATCGTGCTGTGCGATGGCAGTCCGTTCGCAATAGGTGCAATAGTTCGCCCCCACCCGGGCCCAAAACTACTCGGCCCTTTGCCCGCTCCCCTTAAATTCATCTTGGGATATGTTCAACCACGAACGAACAAGCTGGCAGTCCTCGTCAGTCGCACCGTCGTTTTTTGCTCTGATTGCGTGTTTTGGATGTCAGATTCAACAGCCTACATCCATCTACATTTCAAAGAATTTATATATAGCAGTATTCAGATAGCGCTAATATGGCCCTGGTCGGGGAACGTTAGGCCTGGTAACAAGATCCATTCAAATCAGATCGAATGGATTACTATTAGCGGCGATATCCTCGCTCGAAGATCGCAAATTTTGAATTCGGCGAAGACTCTAGCTCCTCTATCTCCCCAACCAGATTGAGATAGATATGGTGCATCTAAAAACTTCCAACTGGCCAAATCGAGGAGTGGAGGTTTTATTATTTAACGTACAATTAATGTAGTTAAACCCAAAAACAAAATACGTTAAATACAGCTTTCATGCGTTTTATCACTAGGTTAAAGGTCCCAACTGCCTCCGGATATTATATACGGATAAGAGTCACATACAAAAATCAAGATACATCTCAGCGGCCACCCCTATGGCCAAATATCCAAGCGCCCATGTAAAATACCGCTAGGTTAAATATCTATTTCTGGACCAATTCAACTCCAAATTTGAATCTGAGACGTAGAATTTCTTCATTACATTGAGATCTGTCGATTCTACGTCTCAATTTGCTGAAATTTTGAGTAATGAATATGAAATAGAAGTCAGACATTTTTGTGAAAAGTTGGTAGTTTATAGATGACGTGCACCATAGGCTGCCCAAGCAATAATTATCCGGATAATCAAACGATGCATTCCTTTCATTCTCATTTACCATGGCTCCAATCGACACACCTCCCCCGACAATCCAAGCGATGATATCGCCGCCCGGCAACGCAGCAAGTTCTCGAATTAGGCAATTATTAATCGCTTAGTTGCGCCATGGACAAATATTCATCAATGCCTGGCGGTTTGAGTCCGAAGTACATAGAAATTAGGGTTCCTTCGGGCTTGAGGCACGTGTGGCAGTTCGTCAGCAGTGTTGCTGTCAACCATAGCAATCCAATCGGGCTACCGCGCACATTCTTGTCGTATGACACATACGGCCACATTCCCTTGATCAAATGAAAGCTCCACTCGACCGACTCACGCACAGAGCTCATCCAAGAGTTAAACTCCCCTCAAACGTGCCTGGCTCGGCATTCACGAAGGGACAGGAAAGACACTGACGGCAGCCGTAGGCAGGATCACTGTAGAGACAAAATCGAGCCAACGCAGGGTTCGCTTGAACCGATCCAGGCAACTCATAGAGAGCATGGTGGAGTCATGGCGACGACCTTCGATTGGACTGTATATGCTCACAATCATGCCATCAGGGACGGAAATACCTTGCCAATTCAGACAGTGTTGTTGTGGATGACCAATGTACACAACACGGTGGAGGTTTTCTGGTCCTGGGGCATCCGTGCGAGGTCTGGGGCGACTGGTGTATTACTTGGGTCCGTCGATGAAAGCAACGCATGATCGCATTCCACGGAGGCCACTCTTACTCTCGATGGCCTCTGCATACATATCTTGAAACCCAGTTAGAGTACAAAATTAGCAACGCAAATCACATACCAGCTCAATTCACGGTCAGATGTTCGTGGAAGTACAGTACATTGTCCTGCTCCATGAGCGGTGCAGCTGGTTCACGATGGTGTGAATGATCCGGCTGCAGTCCTCCATGGAACGTCCAAATTCGTTTGCAATGGTCAAGAGGCGGCACGTTTCAACCAGGCGGCGGCAGGTGATTGTCATGGCTTCGATAGCCTCAACTTTGTCGTTCCACACAGTGATAATGAGCTCTGGTAGTCTAAGTTTGGTACATAACAACACGAGCTCATGCACGGAGAAGCGGAATTTGATTCGTGCTGTTGGGTCGTCCATGCGCCGATCAAAGGTGTTGTGAACGTTATGAGCGGCCGAGCAGCTCTAAATCAAAGAATCTTGTCACTATTAGAACCTCCGTTACGTCAAAAAACAAGTTGATGTCGCCATGACATTGTTCAAGGAGCACCGTGATGAGTTTGACAGCGTCGTGATTGCGCAGCACTGGAGGCAGCCGCCTACTTGCAAAATCAGTGGATGACGCCATTTGTCTGTTATCCGTACCTCCTACTATAGTAATTCATCTTAGCTATTGCTGCCACCATTGGAAAACCCACTACCAGACGCATGACAGCCTACAGGGTGAGAAAAACATTGGTCAACGTTTCTCCATTGAGCGTGTCAAAGGTCGTCATTGTTAATGCAATCATATCATAAACAGTGCGACTCACCATCTTATACTGCAGAGTCTGGATGGATGCGAAGAATCCAAGGTCGAGCACGTTGAGGTCCGGACTGTTTGGAGTCTGCCGACGAACCACAAATGACCAACCATGGGTGGAAACTTACCGTGAGAGCCGCATCGTCGATCGATCGGTGGGGAGTAGCATTGCCATGCTATAAGACGACTCGCTTGTTGGAGTTACAGCATTTCTCCTTATGATGGCACGTACAACTCTGTTAAGCACGTCATCGCCGCACGTAGCGGCGTCTACATTCATGACGTCGTCACCATCGTCCTAGCAGGTCGATTGCGTGAATTGGGCGCAGCGGGGACTTCCGTCAAATCCATCCTCTTCGCGCGGCCAAGTGACAGCACACAGAAACATGACCTTCGGAACGACGCGCTTGGACTTGCAAGCATGTAAACGAAGATCATCACCTTCCACGAGATACGTCTTGCGGCAGTCCTTATCCGCTTTAAACCACTTTGATCAAGATGCACGACGTCCGTCCCACATGCCCAAAACGTCGACTTCGGGCATCGTGCCGGTCCTGGCGTCATTCTGCGGAATCACCGTCGGCACCATAGTAGGCATCGATAGCAGCTTGGGTATGTGCGACATGTGCCCATAGTACCCCACATGTGCACCATAGTAGGCATCGATAGCAGCTTGGGTATGTGCGACAGGCGCTCGTGCTTGTTCTCCTCCGTGAGCAGGGGTTTGTGGCACGACGAGCGGCGGTGCATGATTCTATTCATGAGAGCACGACTGAGAGAATGAAGATGGTCTCACTTCGGTCCTTCGGACATGTCTCTCAATGTGCTGTGTTGTTGAAAAGGTACTTGTCTTATTAGCGCCTTTAGGGGCTCTTCCAAGTACCGTCGTACTTTAAACCCAAAATGAGTTCCCAAGTAAGTTTGTCGTTATTTCATCGCACTTTCGTCGTGCTTTTGTCGTGTTTTCTGCTTCCACGTGATTGGCTAGTGATGGTTTTGTCGTGTTTTGTGTTTTGAGGTTTTCAGCGCGCACGGATTGGACAAACCTATCCAATCACAGTGGCATATGCTTACATACTAATTTTCATATAAAGACCAATGTGCTTGCTCACCAGCGAAATTTGCCGGCAGCGGTGGTGACCTGCCCTAGATCCAAGCACAAGGCCTAGGTCATACGAGCCCTAGGAACATGTAGATTGACAAGAAGCATGATAGATATGCCTAGCTATAGCTTTGAAGTCTCCGCCATGATGTTCCGCAGCCTCTCCTCGTACATAACAGCAGTCGAGTTGTGCCGTGAGCAAGACATGGCACGGCTCGCTGTTACCACAGGTATCGTCATGGCTGCCAAAGCGTTCACAGCGGTACTGTGGCATGACCCCAAAGGTATCCTGCGGAAGTGGGATTGATTTCACAGTTCCTGGTGGTGCAGTTGACGAGAACACGCCCACTAATGGCGGCTCCGACCAACCTCGGCATGGACTTGCAGCCCCAAGGTGCGAGTAGAATATCCAATACTCAGATCAAGTAAAACGAAATCCAATCATTTTAACCTACTTGGGATGCACAAATACCCAAAACACGATCAAAACATGACTCGCCATCGTACTTTGAAAAAGAATTTTCGAAGTACGACGGAAACGATTCTGATTGGCTCCGTTCGTTTTTGAAAGTTACTTGGAAGAGCCCCTTATTTAATTCACATGTCGGGCGTGGTAGTGCACATGACGAGAACTTCAATTGTGGACACAGGCCCCGTGGTTTTATTCCATTCTTCTTATTATTAATTTA